TATGTATCCATAAAAATTTTAATTTCATACAACAAAGTAAATTGAAATTACGAATGCAGATCTTGAGCACTTAAGTCTACATTAAAAATCCATCAGCCCTTCTTGCCGTCACCACATCAGCGCCAAAATGATCAAAGCTACTTTTAAGAATAACATCCCGCATGACATCAATAAGAGAGTATAGAACGTGACGATCAAAAATGATTAACCCGATTGACGCGAGCAAACAAGCGAGCCGTCAATCAAGCGCATAGAATGTCGCGAGCGAGCAGCTCGTCAAAGCTTTCCAACGTTAATGGAGACGTCGAATCCAGCAACACGTTCGCGTTCACGTATAAGAAGCTTCGGCGGCAGAGAGGCGTAATTGGGAAGCTCTCTCGTTTGCGATAAATTTAATGGGCAATCGCTGCGATCGATCATCCGGCAGCTCTCGTCGCTGCGCTATGCGGGATTTCACGTGTTCCATACGCGATACGAATCGCGCATATATCTGTGTAGCTGTGCTATAGATACAACCGTAGAGCTGAATTGTGATGACGCATCAATTTATGACTTCGCTGGGCGTGATTAGCTCGCGAGAGAATTGATTTTCTCGATTTGGCCGACGTTGCCGTGCTAATATTTCGTTGATTAATTGTCTCGTGCGTATGCTTTCGCGTCCAATTCAATGGATATACTCGTATATATACGCGCGCAGGGAGGAATTTGTTGATGTAGATTTGAAATACAACTCGCAGGTCAGATGTTACTAGAGCGGTGTGGGTTTACGGAACGCGAGTTTAGCGATGAGACCAAGGTGATTTAAAATTATTGGCGAAATAACCTGAATGTCGCAAGTCGCGAGAAATAATCGGCGAGAAGCGTGCGAAAACAACAGGGCACGCGGAAAGTACGTATACGTATACATACACGTGGAATGCACGAGCAGTGTGTGATCATCAATGAATTTCAGGAATCGACGGCGCGCGGCAAAACGATGGGTATACATGCAGGTCTCGTAAATACGCTTACCGTCCTACTAAAATGGAGAGTGGGAGATAGGGAGCCAATGAGCGGGAGAGAGAAAGAGGATTGCAACACATTAATACGTTCGGCCAGTTGCTGGCTGGTGCTGCTGCTGCTGCTGCTTGGCTAAGGTTTTCCAGGACGAAAACGCGGCTTTGCAATGCGCCTTGGATATTTCGTTTGGGATAACGATCGCGAGGCGATCTTGCATTATGATAGAGCGCAAAGCGCCGATGGCTATCTGTCGGCGCCGCCGAGCTCCGCACTGCAACCAGAGCGATGCCACTTGATAACTATTCACCTATATATATCTATACTCGACCATGCGCGCCATTTCGATATACATTTATATATACATATATATAGGTACGCATATATATTCATAATGCGTGCATGTACAATAGCAATCTGCTGCTTGGGATTGTCGGGATATTCAGTACGTAGGTAACATTGTTTCTTGCAGTATATATACTATATAATTGTATTGAATTAAAATTGCAGTGTGTGGCAAATTTCAATTTAAGAATACAATAAAACTGAGCATGAGAATGTCGACAATTTTGAGATTATTATTATTAACAGATTTTGTTTATCAAATAGCATCGGCAGAAGGGTTTAAAATAAAAATAATTGATAGACCGATTGGTTATTCTAACTGAATAAGGCTATACCGAACCGCTGAAATCCACATCCTAGTATAGCATGTTATAAATTGATAACCTGCGGTATTCCAGTTCTCCAGTGACAATGATGCGGTTCAGATCAATGACAAGTTTTTTTTTTATTCAAAATTGATAACAGTCGCTGTTACTTCTATCTTTGACACAACCGGGACATATTTTTTTCTAATTGACTGATGATTTTTTATGATTATCTTCATCTGATAACTTTTTGCATAGTATTTTAAATCAATTGAGCTTTGTATACTGTTGAAATGGTTGCGAAACACAAAACAAACTGAGTAACGGGTAAAAATTAATTATATAATTAGCGAATCCAAACAAGTCAATAAATAAATATTTTCCAACAAAATCATCGGTGGTAAGTCGGCGACGTCAGCGTTGTAATAATTTGCAAAGCCGTTGAAGGGAAACGCTTGACGTTCCGTCAGCCGCAGCGACACGCAAGGCCCGCGTCGATTGCATCGATCATGGCGTGGATTTAGCGAGCTGTATTATACGCATGTGTGTGTCGTTCTCGTAAGTCTCTTTCTCTCTCTCTCTGCTTCGCTGCAGGTGTGTTCGAACGTTGCTTCGGACACCTGCTAATTTATATAATGCTTGACGGCTAATTTTGTGCTCCCTATATTTTCTGCATTACCCTCGAATCGACTTTTATATTTTCATGCAAGGCTATCAATACGCTGAAATTGAATGGAACGATAACTGCTACTCTAGATATTGCTTTGTTAGCTTGGGTAGATTTAGTATTTTTGAATATACTTTTGTTATTAATATACGCAGCTCAAGAGACAGAATTATTTCCGGTTGGTTCTCGATATTCAATTGGTTGAAATATCATAGCGGGCACCGCAAATAGTCTTGCCAACGGCACAAGTGCTGCGTAGGCGCAGCTTGCTCGAACCGGAGCCATCGCCTTCAATTTCTCACCTCTCCCGCGCGGCACGTACTCGGGGCCTTTGTCTCTTGGATTCCGCGCGCTGCGGTTGTTTAAACACCTCGCCCTGTATGTATATAGCTTTTCTCTCGCTGTCGCGTGCGATTTATCCCGCTTCGATCCTCTCTCGGCCGTTTGGCATTGACGCGTCAAGTGGTTTTCCGGGGCGACACTTTGACGTGTTGGCGTGATGCTTTTGAGGCGTGCATTGTACGCCATGATCAATCATTCCAGTCATTGATTGTTAGCGGTTCCGAGCTCTGCTGTACTGCGGAATTTTCGTCATTTGACGGTAACAATACGTATGCACTTGACAATTCTTTTTTTCGTTACGTTTGAGTTGCTGTTGTGATCAACTGCAATATGGATGAATAGGCCGGCTGAACGTTTATTAGTTTATATTTGTGATTTTAAGTATTTAATTTGATCATTCAAGAATATGTTACAGTTCGACCACGTATACCAAGAATTTAATTTTACTTAAAATAGTTTTGGTACGAAGTTGTTTCCTGTCATTATAAGAAGATCTTATTACAAAAGGAATCCTTTCGCATATGTATTAGGCGGAAATTTACTTTACATCCAGATGATTCCCCTCGTTACCGCATGATTTATTGTCACTGTAGGTATTTTAAACTAATTATCTTATTCGCAAATTAGCTTATTTTCAAATTCGTTATACGCTTGATCGTATTGCGGACTCGGAATACTTTTTTCAGCTCGATGAAAAACGTAAAGCTAATTAAGCGAATAACCTGCACGGCGATTCCGTATACATTGCGCGTGTGTGCAACCTTTCACAGCGATAAAAAAAATAGAAAAAAACAAAACAAAACAGCGACGTGCGAGCGGTTCTCGAGTGTGCACGCGAAATATGAGGTGGGTGCGCAAAAAGGTAACTAATGAATTTTCCACGGGAAAACGTATGCAGAGCGCGCGAGCCGAAATGAGTGGCCGACAACAACAGATGCTCGATATCGCCCAGAGGAGCACGAAAAACCACGCGAGGTATGCCAATCGTGAACGCTTGCAGTGCCGTATGCCGCTTGCTTTGGCGTTAGGCGCGCAACGCGTGTAAATGTCACTATGGCTCCTTGTTAAAACAGCCGAGCGCGAGCGGTCAAATAGCCCGCGGGGCCCGAGAACCGCGATTCCTAACTTTCATGCAGTTTTAAGCTGAGCTGCGTTACTTTTTGAGCTTTCGCTGCTTTTATTTTAATTTTTCCACGTGCGTTTTTTTTATGTTCTATTTGCGCTCGAATTAAAATGTGTTTTACGAATGCAGATTTCAATTGAACTAATCGTCAATACAACTGTTTTTGCTTCATAAATCATGTATGCGAATCGAAAATAAAGAATCTCAAACATTATTTTACATAAGAGAAAACATTTTCATATATTTGAATACTTCAACAAATACATTCCGATAAATAAAACCAAGTGTAACTACTCGCGTGTTCAAGGACCGTCCATTATCACACTAAGAACTCGAAGAAAAAAATGAGTGTCGATGAGTATAACGAAGAAGAAGCTTTTTCTCTCTCTCTCTCTTTCTCTCTCTCCCTCCCTCTCTCCCTCTCAATTCGGGCGTAATAACGCTTAAGAACTGGTCCTAACGAGAGCTTCGAGCCAGGCCATATTCCCTCGGAAACTTGCCTCGTTCCGCATGCAAAAGTTCACTCGCTCGATAGATTACGATTACGGCCTAGAAGCTTCTACCGAATCCCCTAGGCTTTACATTCCTTTTTTTCCCTCGACTGCAAGTGTCTACAATATTTAACGTTATGAAATTATTGTCCACTACCACTGGTACCTAGAAATTAAAGTGGTTTCTCTCGGACAAAAGTAAAATGAAGTTTCGGCCGAGTAGACGATTGTATAATCAAAAGTTGTATTATAACAGATAATTAATTGAACGGACTTAAAAGTTTTAAACTTTTGGGTCAATTGAATTGTTACTTCTTTTCATAAAGTTAAAAAATATTTCACAAAATGGGTAACTCGATGAAAGAAGGTATCGGAGGATCCCTTTGCATACAAACTTTTAATAACGAAATTATCTCCATGGTTTTCTTAAAAGGCAGTATTAGCAAAAATTATGCGCAAGACGGCTCGTTGAATGCAAAGTTGTTTGTGCGAGAGAATGTAATGAACAAGAAAAAAGCCGGAACGCTTTTGCTGGGGCGCTGGAGTAAAGCTCTTGTAAACACTATAAGCTATATCCTCTCCTCGTTCTGCAAGGTAAAAGCCAAGTAAATTGATAGAGAATGGCGTTGCCTTTAGTCACGATTACATTGTTCGCGGAGTATGAGCTTCTTTTTTTTTCCCTTCCCTTCTTTCAGCACTTGATTCAATGCTCCCGTTTTTTCTCGTTGCAGGTGTTGCGGCTAGCTTCGTTCCGGGCCACTGCGAGGAAAAGGTGAGTTGACTCGCTTAATATAATTCCACGTGCCTCAGCACGCAGCACTTCGTTAATTTAACCGAGCCTTAATGAACAATTCGCAGGCACTTTGCTTTGACGTAGAGATTTTATTTTTCTCGCGATTAATTCAATTTCTCTTTTTTTTTCATTTTTTAGCGCAGTCAAAGCAAGTACTGCTAAAATCAAATGAAATTGTTCTGAATCAAGTGGTTGAATCATTTCTGGTTTGTTTTAATTTCAAATAAGTTTAAAATGTCAATAAAGCTTGAAGGTACCATTTGAATAAACTATATTTTATAGTTGAAAACATCTATAGTAGATAGAGCATGGAGAATCTGAGCTACTTACCATACCAGTATTCGATTCATTCCTTACAAACACTCGGTAACATTATCAGTCCCTTTGAGCCTGTAGGTCGATGCTACTTTATCGGCCGAGGTATCGCCCTGCTGGTTTATCGATCAGGCCCATACCCCCAGTGTCGGTAATATTACGGTTAATGAGCGTACCAACTCGGTATATGGGGGGGGGGGGGGGGGGTCCAATGGCTCTATGCTAGTTTATCGGTTGAATAACTGGTCGATACCTCCGGCCCCATGTCCTTTCGTTAGCGACTCTCGTGCGGTTCTACTGACGTTTCTGCTTCTCTATCGAGCACTCCCCCGCATGCTCCATACCCCGTGCCTGTGTTTCCAATCGATTCGATGAATCAGAGTCGGTAATAAAATGTGATATCCTATGCTCCGTATACTGAGTTTTTGTACTGACAGCTATTACAACTGTTGACGTTTTATGTTATCAAGGTATAAGTATGTGGTTAAGTCATAAACACTGACGGTAATTATGTTTTATACTTTTCACATGTAGAATATAAGAATATTAGCACTATAGACAAATTATTCGTATATTCATATTATAAACATTAACTCATTTGTCAGAGAACACTCGTCTAATAATGACAGTCTATCAGAAAAAAAAAAACAAGAAGAAGAAAATGGAAAAAGTTTGCTAAATAACTTAATAAATAATCTACCCTTTAAGGTTCACATACCTGGTTATCAGTATCGTGGACTTAAAAGAAAGCTATATGAACGGTTGGCTTGGGAAGATTCCGACATTAATAGTTTAAATGCCGCATATAAAAATAACAACATGGCTTACTCTAAAAATAAAAATATTTAAGCAAGAAATGCTGCAGATAGAGTGTTAGCTGAAAAAACTTGGCAACTTGTTCATAGTTCTGATGCGCAGTTTAGGTGAAAAAGCAGCTGTTAAAAGTATACGCTGTTAAAAAAATCATGAAGGCAAAATCGTCTTTTGGAATGGGGCTCGGGTAGAAGCGTTACAAGGAAAGAAAAACTTTGAGAAAAAAAAAACAAAAACTTTGAGTTTGAAAAAACTGATCAGTACGATAAAAAAAATACAACTCTCTGCAATTATTTGAAATTTTTTATAGAATGCTTTAAATGCAACACGTAAACTTTTGGAAAATGTTGGTGGCAAGAAAAATATAAGTGTATTGCCGATACCCAAATTAGGAGATTTTTTCCCAGCACTTATACCGATTTTTACAAGAATTAGAACACTGGAATCATGAATATCGATTTGATTTTGAATAAAAGTGAAAAAAATATAAAGAATACGAAAAAGAAAATAGCGAGACGAAAAAAAAACTTCGAAGTAAGATAACTTCATCGTCCTTTAACAAATTACGATATAAAATAGTATGCTCGTGAACTACAAATTCCTCATTTTCGAGGAGTTTTTATGAGAAACTGTCTACCGAAACAAGGTCCACTAGTTAAAGAGTCTGCTGTTGTAAATCTTTGATGATAGTTTTCAACCTAGTACTCATAAGATTGCATACCGAAAAAATGGCAAAGATATTTTTTACTTTGACAGCTTTGATGACTTAAGACCTTCGGTAGATCTCATGAAATATTTTAAAGTTGATAAAATAAAATACAATTATAAAAATTATTAATCTTATAATACTTCCATTTTTTGGTCATTTATATTTGAAATTCTTATGTCATTTATTAAAACATTCTGATTATTATCACTTGTATAAATAGAAAGAATTCCAAATAAAATATTCAGTTTCATATAATTCAAGATGGTTTCGAGTTCTTTCCTGTTGTACCACCACGCTACAAATTCATTAAAGTACCTAAAGAGATTATATATCTACCTTTGACTGTTAACCTTATTGATTATTGACAATTTTATTTAGTAAATCAAGATGGAGACTTGATAAATTTTCGAGATGACGTTATCATGTTCATTACGTGTAAAAAGAGTATCGTAATAAGAATAGTTTATAATCTTAAAGTAGGTAATGGCTACATAAGTACTCGATCATGTGCGCTTATAGTCAGTCGACAAAACATTGAGTTTCTGAAGAATCTCGGCCTAAACGTGATCATAAGCATCCCTCAAACAAAAAGGAAAAAAAGAAACTTAAAAACCGTAAAAAATTGGTATGCATATTCATCTGTTGCAATCATCTTAAAGATGGAAGAAATACTTAGCATACAAACTAATCGTCTTCAATGAGTCTATCGCTCATTATGAAATTCATGTGCACCAGCCTTACACCTCACAAAACTTCAATAACAGCGATGGAATCAGAATATCAATCCAACATCAAAATTTATGTCTTTTGCCATCAAAAAGTTCTCTGCATGTTTCAGGAAGACTTCGACTAGACGAAGATACTGCTATAACTGGTACAAATTTTATAAATAATGTTAAATGTCAATAACGTTCTCAATTGTTTGAAAATATTCGCTAGGAAATTAATGCTATTGATAAATATTGATGTAATAATGTTGGATTGACGAGTAAAGTTTAATTTCATTCAATCCGAATCAAAGTAGATTTCTTGAAAATGCTGAATGGCTTAACATTTAAGAAACTAGAAATATCACAGACCAGATTGGTAACTTTGATGGGTAACGATTTTGAATTATACTGAAGATTATCAAAAAATTCTCGTAAATATAAAATATGAACTTATTCTAACACGATCGAGAGATAATCTTAATGAAATTCTACAAAATCAGGTTAGAATTGATAATGAAGATAATTATGAGTCGCTAAAACTAGAACTTATACGAATCGAATGGCTGATGCTTTATGTGATTATGTCAAACAGACATCAGATGCAATTATTAATTCTATTCAATTACCTCATTCTATAATTTTTTGATCATGGGAGTTTTATGAGTATCCAGAACTATTTCAAATACCTATATATATTTGGACAATCAAAACATCAAATCAATTAGAGAAACCAAGATTTCATATATCAAGTTTTCAGATTAAACACAAGTCTATGATAAAACGAAAAATTATGGCAATTTCGAATATTGTAATGGAACGAATGTAAAACTTTTTTTAATTCTCATCAATATCCGTATGGCAATTAAAATCTTGATATTAAAATAATAAATATTCAATGTTATACGATATATATTTGGATATAAAGCAATTCATAACTCATTCACCCTTAATAGTGATAGACTGTTTAAAGCAAAAGGAGACATTGAAACGAGCAGCAGTTAATGTACGTCTAGAGTTTCAAACAAAAGATAATACACCACAGGAAACAGCTGCATATTGTCTGATTTTGTACGATCGTAAAACTTGTATAAGTATATCATAAAAAAAAATTAGTTATTTGACAATTATCATTTCATTTTATTCATTTTAATAAGCATTGACGTGTTCAGGCGTAAACTGGGTAAGTCTGAAAATAATCGTGGTACAACTGGTATAGGATATTAAATTACAAAGGAGAATCAATGCGACTTAGAAAATAAACGACTTTGTAATGTACGTACTGCTTTAAATTTTAATGACGATATTCTTTCAGTAGAACTTAAAAATGTACGTGACAGTCTGACAAAATAAAATAAACTGAATATTATTGAAGTAATTCCTAATCCAGACCGAAATCAGAAGGTTATAAAAAATTTTTGTTTTTTATACACCTTACATTCTATTAGCGACTTTGATTTCGATTGACCGATTGGGAGCATGGGGCACGGAGCTGGGGGCATCGGCCAATTACTCAACCATATATTAGCATGGAGCCGTCTGGTCCGCCGGTACACCAGGTCGGTATGCACATTCATGAAAATCAGTAATATTACCGGAGCCGGGGGTATAAGACCGACCTATAAATCAGCAGAATGCCTGAACCGATAAAGTAGCATCGACCTGTAGGTAGAAAAAGGCTGATAATGTTACCAAGAATCAGTAAGGAAGAAATCGAATACTCGCATGGTCAATGGCTCAGGATCCCCATAGCTCTGTGTAATGTCAATATTTCTAATGAAGTTTTGCCAGTTTCATATTCAAGGAATGATTGAATATAAGAACTGTCATTTATCCTAACATGATTAATACTGACATCCCTTAAAACAATTGGAATACGTTATTAATGCTCTTGTGTTACAACTCACTTATTTTTCAAAAATAAAACATAAACTACTGACAAGTAACAAAGTCCCGATACAACGATTCAAACTGATACAATATATTCATAACAAATTCTGATAAAAAATTTAATTACCCAAGCGTCTAAAAATAAATTGAGATATTATCCCATTTCTAGCAAATTGGGATAATAAAGGGATATTTAAAAGAATTGGTGTTTTTACGACGTGCATAGAAAAAGCCGAAGCCTTAATTTTTCTCTAATCTGAATATCCGAAGGACTACGCGAGTTTTTGCCAATGAAAGCGTAATCCCGGAGCCGGCGCGCGTGCACATCCGCGTTATCTCGTGGTAGCTTTGGATGGCGTCAAAGCTAAGCTGCGCGGCGAGTGCGGACGAAGTCGGTACACGAAGGAGAGAGAAAGACGTGCGTCTGCGCTTCCGGCGGCGTTCATCAGATTGGCAAGACAATGGGATATTCCGTGACGCAATGGTATTATGGAACCGCGAGCGCGGGTCCTAACTCCTCCCGCCTCTCTCGTTCGCTTGCGTCT